AACCCTAAAACCCTAAACCCCAAGTTCTGCGGAGAGAGGCCGAGTGGTGCACTGCCCCGCAGTGTGTCGCCACCCAATCTCGATCTTTACACTGCGACGCCAGGCTTAGGGTTTAGGGTTTAGGGGTTTAGGGTTAAGGGTTTAGGGGTTTAGGGTTTTTAGGGTTTAGGGTTTAGGGGTTTAGGCTTTAGGGGTTAGGGTTCAGCAAAGCCCGTAGAAGCCGGTAGAAGCCCGGTGGTGACACAGTGTCCTGGACCGAGGAAGGGTGTGGTGTCGGCGCCGATGCCAAAGCTGCCGCCCGGAAAGCAGTTCCCCGGCTTGGATTTAACTCGGTTTGGGGCTTTGTCCATGCTTTCTCAGACTTGAAGTTCTTTGGGGGCAGGGTCTTTGTGAAGTAGAATAACATCGAAGAGTATGGGTAGAAGTTGTGTATATAATGTAGCAAAGCCTTTCAGATACCCAGACAGGCTCACAATACGCTTTGCGAAAATGCGAGGAGCAACCTAGTCTTTGTGCAGAACAGAGAGCGGCCAGGTTCAGTCACGGATTCGATGGGGATGCAACGGTAGTCTGCGAGGTGCTTGTAACCCCAATTGAATCCAATTGTACCTATAGCCCCACCCCCATTATATTGTATAGGTCTTAAGCTTAGACTCCGTATGCTGAGCCCTAAACCCGTAAACCCTACACCACCTTTCAGCCACGACTGCTTGAATCGCGTCAGGTCGGTTTTCGATGGGGTGCCCCTGCTGCAGACGCCCAGCCAGCACCAAAGCCCCAAAGCTTGAGCTTAGTCTCAAAACCGGGAAATAAGGTTACAATAGGCCCTTACGAGGTTATTATAAGGGCAGCTCCCTTTATGATTTGTTGTAAATTGAGATTAGCATGACTATTTCCGCCGCTGCTATGGCTGCCACAAGTACCGTTCTGACAGCTGCTGCTAAATTGCCATCACGTCTTAATTAGACACATTATTACAAAGATTCAGATTTATGTCACTTGTTTGTTCTTACGGCTTGGGGGTTTTGCAACTGCTGTGAGTAGTGGTTCCCGTTCTTCTTTTTGCTACTATACAGCTATGGCCAGTGCCCCGAACCCAAACCAGCAGGTTTGCAATGTAGACCCTAGTTATTCAGCACCCCTGCCTTGCAGATCATAGAGTCGTCGGACTTCCATCCTCGTCTTTACCAAGTGATCGTCCCCATAAGAAAGCCTTATACACCCTAGAAGCCCGATATTATAGTCCCTATGCAACCATATACTCCACAACGAACTAATTAGGCAGACCTCTATACCAAACCCTTATAGCAATCTTTACTGTAACTGTTACAGTTAAGGGTCCCTTTAAGGGTTCCCTTTTAGGGGTCCCTTTTAAGGGCCGTCTAAGGGTTCCTCTTAGGGGTTCCTTTTAGGGTTCCCTTTGAGGGACCCTTTAAAGGGAACCCTTCACAGAACCCCATAAGTCCTTGTAGCATATCTTCTACAGCCCTTAAACCCTATAAAAGGAGCCCTTAAAGGGAACCCTTTACAGAACCCCATAAATCCTTAAAGGGAACCCTTCACAGAACCCCATTCCAACTCTTGAGCACCGAGGACCGACGAAGTCGGAGATCCGGGTCTTGCCGCCCTCGTGGGGCAGTTCGGAGGTCGACTGGCGCCTGGGTCGGAAACTTCGAAGGCTCTAGGGTCCCCTTAAGGGGTTCTTTAGGGGCTACTATAATAGGCTTTAGGGTTTAGGTTTTCTTCAGGCTTTAGCATGTCTTCAGGCTTTACGGTTTTTGGATGGTTGAGGGTTTCTTCGACTGGCTGAGTCCCGTACTACGGGCTTAGGTAACTGGGCTTAAGTCCAGGGTTTCAGGGCGTGTATCCGGCGGGTCCAGTTCAATTAGGTCCCTCTTGACTAGAGCCCTGTGCCAAGTAGACATCATCCCTACTCAGCCAACTGCCGGTCTGCCTTTATACCCGAAGACCTGCTAGCCATTATAGGGATTTCGATGAATTTCAAGGTATCCCTTACATGAGCCGCAAGATGCCAAGGTGTCTGAGTTTCAACCTCTCGACCTGGCCTCGGCCCTGTTGATCCTGCTTGGCCTGGGACTTGGTGTACTGGCGCCCTGGCCGGCTCAGTCTGTTTTCAGATTTTTCAGGCTTTGGGGGTGTCCAGGCCTAGGGGGTTCAAGACAGCTAGTGCCAATTAGGATTAACGTCGTCTTCTTTTCTCCGGGTCTAGACTGAACAGCTTGCGGGCTTCAGGCAGAGGGCACTGCCTGTGACGAGGTTGTTGGGTTCTAGGTCGTACACCGCAGGAATGAGAAGCTCGAACATCGGCGCACCTGCATGACACAACAGCAGTGCCACTCGACATCTAGGCATGCCCTATGTAAATGTTACGGCCGTGGCCCAATTAAGAGCTTTGCCCGAATCTGCAGGACACGCGACGCCGATGGCTCTCTTACGCTAGCGACGCCATCACTTGGTCTTTGTACGAGGCCGTCGCAGTGCTTAAGGTTGTGATTAAATTAGGTGGAACCCTAAATCGAAGTGCCAAAAACTTCAAGCCTAAACCCGAAACTTTGCAAACTTAAACCCCCTACATGCGAAGTCCTAAAGCTACCAATACGCC